GTGCGTTACACAGTGCGGCAGACACAGCTGGGTGTATTACACAGTGCTGTAGATATAGCTGGGTGCGTTACACAGTGCGGCAGACACAGCTGGGTATGTTACGCAGTGCCATACACACCAGTGGGTGCGCTACGCAGTGCCATAGACACCAGTGGGTGCGCTACGCAGTGCTATGGGGTATTCTGCCGAGCGGTTTGTGGGGGCTGCCATCTTAGAGCGCCACCATCACTGCAGAGGCACTTTGCTCACCGCAGTGGAAATGACTGCAACATGAGTAGGTGGTATTCAAGATTAACTCGCTTTTTCTCCAAATTTGGAGTTTTCTATCACTGCTTCAGTAGCCAATGACAGCACACGTCCTTCCTGATTTCCTGGATACGTTTGTCAAAGTAACTTTAAATACACATTATAGGCATAAAACAGAAAATATTACACTTTGAGGACAGCTTCCGTTCACACACATGTATATTTGTGAGGAGGTGCCATAACAGAAATAGCACCTCCTTTATTTCCGGTTCTTTGCCGGGTTACTCTATAGACACAGCTAGGTCTGGGTTCGTTTAACCAGTGCTGTAGATACACTGTTATACAGTGTCATCAACATTAATGGGTGCGTTACACAATGCCATAGACATGATTGGGTGCGTTACACGGTGCTTCAGACACAAATGGGTGCGTAGCACAGTGCCATAGACACAAATATGTGCACTACACAGTGCACAGCTGGCTGCATCACACAGCACGCTCAGAACACAATCCTTACTTATCTACAGTTTGTGTACTTTCCTGGAACGACGGTAATTAATCATGTCATTCCCTGCAGTGAGTTAACCTGCAGATGAGTCACTCTGATTAAGTGCTTGACTCTTAAATGGTAATTTCACACCGCAGGACCAGCCATCCTGGAGGACGTGCTGATCGAGGTGTTCCGGACCCTGCACACGCAGTGCCGAGCCGAGCTGGACCTTCAGAACCAAAGCCCATTCAGCAAGGACCACAGCCAGCTTAGCAGGTTAACTCACTAAATTCAACCCTCTAGTGAAGGCTTATCTCCTGTCTACTTTATGTAAATCTCTAGTGACGCTCCTGGGTTCTGAGGTCACTTCCTGGTGTGATCATCTATTTCCTGTTTCTTCATAGCAAGCTACGTGAGAATAAGAAAACAGCAGAGCTGATCAAAACAGCCAACTTGCTGTTTAACTCCTTCGAGCCGTTTTACATGTGGGATTACGTGGCGCGCTGGTTCGAGGACTGCTGCAGGTGCGTGTGTGTGCGCGCCAGCTGTTACGACATTAAGCCCCCCCCCCCCCGGAACCAGCAGAGT